AAAAACTAAAGTTAAAAGATGAGGCCCATATCGTCACACAATGTAAGCTTCTTGTAGAAGCGAGCATATAATGACCCTGCTTTTCAATCAATTTGACAAAGGCAATGCCAGCTTCTGCCATCCCTTGGCGTCCGTCATTCCTCCGTCTAGATCTGTTGTCCGGATTTTTGTTTAAAACTCTTCCGTCCCGAAACTGTTCAATGGACGGACATCAAAGTTTGTCTTTTTCATCCACTTTATCCACTATGAAATTTGTGATTTTCGTCCAGGTTGATTAAACAACATGGCCACCGTGGCCAAGAATTGAACATAAAGGTAAAATTTTAGTTTAATTGATATCTCGAAAAGTACAGGAATAAGAGAATACTAACTGGGGAAAATGGCACACCAAGCTACATGTATTATCTACCCTAAACATTTATGAATAATCTGTTTACATAATTTAGTGTTATTGGCCCTACAATGTTGAAAGTTTGATATGTTGGCAGTTCTTTGCTATTGTTTCGAAAACTTTCGTAGCCAAGTTAAACTAAAAAATTCAAAAACTATTCACATGGTAAGTTCTATCTATCTGAAAAGTTTTAGAAAAATCATAGCTCCTAAATGAGTTATTGCCCTGAAATGTAAGTAGTATTTACCAATTATCACAGTTTTTGGACTGTTATGCTATATAATAACTGTAAGATCTAGGTTGAAAGGGTAAATTACAATGATGGTTTGAATGACATAATAAACAATGCTTAAACTGGAGAAAATCCCAACTAATTGTTTTGAGAAACTGCCGCGAAAAAACCATTATTTTCCAATTTTCCCAATTTTTTGTTGTTTTAATTTTAAAGGTAGGTTTGAATATAAATTAAAAAATTTAAAAAAAAAATGATCAAAACAACAAGATCTATGTACCCTGAAAAATCTGTTTTCTATTTTTAGAGGTATTCTCCCCGGACATATGCACTTTTTCAAATTATTTGCTGTCATCTCGAAATGCAAAACTTATCAGCATGACAAGATCTATATACTCTGAAAATTTCTGAAAATTTGACAATCTGTTTTGGAGTTTTTGCCCCTGAAATGTTGATTTTTACTGCTTTATGCAGTTTGGCTTCTGTCTCAAACACTACAAGAGCTAGATTAAATGCATCAATCAGAAATGATCAGCTACGCAAAGAATAACATGTATGTGCATATAAAGGTCCTAATTAGCAGCAAGTTTCTAAAAGATGAGCAATACAGGCACAGATGTGCCTCTTGTATATTTCTTTGTTCAATATGCCATTTTCATATTACAGACTTTGACTCCGGATTATATAATTTTTCGACAGGTTACCTACTCTATGGGAGGACATCTGCTATTCGGTCAAATAAGAGCAACGAAAAGAAGTAAAATAAAACACATAATCGGTGCAACATCGGGGGAAAGTTTACTGTTTTCTGAAGATTTGGTCATGTATAGAAAACATAAAATAGTTATTTTTTCCCCAAATTGTATCGATTGAAAGCTTAATTTTTCTTCTTTCAGTTGCTCCTACGTGACAGGGTACCAGCATGATGCCCTTCTGCAGAGTAGGTTACCTGTCGAAAAATTTATAATCAGAAGTCAAAAGTCGGTAATATGAAAATAGTCTATTTTGTGGTCATGATTTTAATAGTCCCAATGTGTATGTTTTGTATTGTGTGTTTTAGTTTTAAGACTAATGGTCGAAGAGAAAAAGGGATGGTTTGTGCACAGTGCCGCACACATAAAACTGGGTTTAACCACACAACAGTTTGTGCCTGTACAAAGTCAGTCTATCTGGTCCATGGGTTTTTTTGTTGTTGTTTAGTTTTTGTATGTCCATTTTTCGGAAGAGCGAATTATTGATGGTTGATGTGTAATGTTGTACCGTATGATATCATGTTTGCTTTTGTGTCCTCTTAATGTACAAGCCTAGTTGGTCGAGTAGTCTAGGGCGTTGGATTAAAGGCGCTTGACACAGTGGAAATTGCCACAATGTCATAGAAGCAAGGGTTCGAACCCACTGGGGGGAGACAAATTTGCTAAGGCCAATTTGCAAATCCAACATATATATATACATGTATAAGTACGTCTAAACAAGTGACAACTCTACGACAGATCCATTCATTGGATCACCTACTCTAAATATCAGCACAACAATGTTAAATCTTCAAATTTGCGTTTTACCCTCGCCGGGATTCGAACTCATGCTCTGTGTCCATCGCTCTAGACCACTCGGCCACCTAGACTGGACTCATAATTCAGCTTACGGTGGCCTAGTGTTACCTATCCTCGTCAGTAGAATCTAGAGTTGCAACACAGTACATGCTATATTAGGCATGAAGACGGAATTGATTGCAGATTAGCTCAATATCTATCGTAAAGGATCATATGATAAAGTCATAATTAATTAAAAATAATTATTTTGATACGTACGTCTAAACAAGTGGCAACTCTACGACAGATCCATCTATTGGATTACAAGTGACGGTGATACACGGCTGAAAACACGTTTTATATTCATAACTACTCTAAAAACCAGTAAAACAATGTTAAATCTGCAAATTTGCAGAAGCAAATTTTTTTTCTTCCCTCGCCGGGATTCGAACTCATGCTTTTGAGATATCGCCCCGCCTGCACTTTGTCCATCGCTATATACATGTATATTTATACTTACATATATCTGAGTACCGAACTTTCGACAATATCAACCAACGGAACGAATGGAAATATTATGCATGTTATTGTCTGAATATACTTTTAATATTAATTGCTGAACAAGGAACCTACGGGTTTCAATCAACCATTGAATTTTATGGGCGCAGCCATTTTATGAAGATAAGATAACAAGGCATTCATAATTAAAAGTATGGCTTATCTTGATTGGTCGATGTGTGCAGCTGGTATTTTATTACAAGACACTTTGTGCACTCTGTACGGAAGCCGGTTGATGTCAGGGTGTAGTTTTATTTTTAAGTCGTTATAACGACTTAGGTAATAAGTCGTTAATAAGAGGAAGGTGAGCTAACTCGTTATAACAAGTTAGCTTAGTCGTTATAACAAGCTAGATAAGTCGGTATAACGACTTTAAATTAAACTACATCATGACACTAACCCCGCTTACGTAACTCTACGTTATACCAAATGTAAAATAATATATTTTCCTTAGCCCTAACAGAACTGAGAAGTCTTTTCTACGCTGTGATAAGACACGTATTTTTGAGTGCAAAATTGATAGGCAAGGGATATAAGTACGTTAAGAAAAGCAACGGGAACATATCTTTTTTTGACTACAGAACACTGTCCTATTAATTTTTCTTTAATTCTAGCAAGGTTTCGTTCAAAAAATCAAACCTTCTAAAGTCTGTATCTCGAAAAGGGCAACTATTGTCGCCTATGGGGAAATTAATTGTTTTTTTGTCGCCTATGGGGAAATTAATTGTTTTTTGGCAATCTACAGCTATGTCAGTTAATCAGTTAAAGAACAATTCATCCATCCATCAAATTTTATAATAAATCAAATTTATCCTTGCAGTAATTAAAGTTGCATGTTGTCTGGTTAATCTGAGTCAGATAAAGATGAACTACTAGGTAAACATTTATAGGGTTTCATATTTAACGATATATTTCTGAAAATTAAAATTATAAACGGAGCCTTTTATATTAGACGAAGATCACAATGATATCTTAAGTTTACTGGCACTTCTGCCTCCGTTAGTCGAATGCTATTCGTACCCACGGGTATCATTAAAACATGAGTCGGTGCTTGGAGCTTGGATTATTTATAACATATCTTTCTCAAACTCTTTGATTTAAAATGTTTAGACTAAGGATTCAAGTCACTTAGGCAATGTTGACCTTAGGGGGATTTGTTTTTCTTTTTTGTCCCTTTTTAGCATAAAGCTCTCTAGTATTCAAGTATGCATATTATATTAACGTAGTATGTCTCTCGTGCTGTGTGGAAGCCGCAAAAATTTCCCCGTGCTTGAGGTGTATGCTCTTATGTATATTTAAAGTTATGGTGTATTTATTCTTGAGATAACTTTTCTTATGTGTGCCACATCATTCTCTCAATTTTAGGCCAGTTTGTGTTCTAAAATTTTAATAAAACCCACACCACCTATTCCTGGCCCCCATTCCAATTCACGTTAAATTTTCACTTTCGATCATTTATGGGGAGGGGGCGGAAATCAATATACCGTTATTTACACATCAGACCGTACTGATCACCGGAACTTTGGATACACCAAACAAGGTACTTCATAGCTGAGAAACAGGCAATATACCCGGTGTGCCCTAAATTTTAAAATGCATTCATACATCTTGTATTATTCAAAATTATCAGTCAAAATGTGTTCTACAAGGATCACCATATTTCTTTTTTATTTTTGAATATATGATTATTTTTAATTTTTTTGAATTTTAGAATTTTTTAGATTGTTTTGAAAATTTTTGAATTTTTTGAATTTTAGATTTCTTCATTTTTGAATTTGAATTTGAATTTTCCAAATAGAGAGCTATACTCTTGTTCAATGAACGTACCTACAATGCCGACAAGTCTTAGAGTAAATTATTTGACGGCAATTATTATTTTTTTTTTTCAAATTTCTGCATTTTTTAATTTTTGATTTTATGATTTTTGTATATTTTTAAAATTTAAAAGTTTTTTGAATCGTTTAATTTTTTAAAATTTTTTTAAATTTGAATTTTTCAATTAGAAAGACGCCTTTGTGTAATGAACGTACCAACAATGTCGACTTTGTGACTCATGTGTTACTACATAATAAGACATAACGTCAATTAAGGGGTCGACGCTATTCCATTAAGTATGACTCATTAGGGGTGTGTGGTCATTTTAATTCTCATAAAAAAGCATACATATTGTGAGAAATTGTTAATGAAACCAAGTTATTACGATGTTTTTTTGTAAAGTTAAAAAAATCTTGCATGACAGGATATTGGGACGAATATTGTTATGGTACGATCTTCAATGGGCCGAGATCTACTTTGTGATGATAAGGCGACAACAACAACTTTGAAGGTGAGCACCTGTTGCAAATTATCGGATATCAACATGGAACAGTGATATAGATTGATAAGAAATATGGTAAAAAGCTTTTTCTTTATTCATATATTGACAGGAAAGACGCACGTATGATTCAATGATATATATAACAAGGTATATTTGTATTTTTTTATTAATGCGGAATGTAATGTTTACATTGTCACTGATTGTGACGGCAAGGTCAATATTTAGTACATGTAAGTGCAAAACACCGCTGCAGGAGATTTTATCTTTTTAGAAATCAATATTGGTTTAATGACTTGCCAAAACATAATTCACTTTGAAATTCTTTGTTTAAAAGAATTTGATGGACAATTTGACATGAAAACAAGGAAACTGGGAAAAATTAATTTCAACAGAAATTTTGTTATATACTGAGGGTCTGACTAATTAGCGACAAGAAGCGATAAGAAGCGGCAAGAAACGACAAGAAGAAACAAATTAGCGACAAGAAGAATAATTTAGGGACAAGAAGTATAATTTAGTGACAAGAAAACAAATTTAGCTTATAAAATATAAATATTAATTATTCTAAATAAATGAATATTGAAACTTACATTAAATTGTCTTTTTTTTTTTTAATATACGAGAAACAAGAGAATAAGTTTTTTTTTCATTATCAAGGATATGTTTAAGATAATATACCTTCAGTTTACAGCATAATGTATGATGAATGAATCAATGTGAAATAGAGTCGGCATGGTTGATATCAAAGATTCAAAACCAAATTATAAGATAAAATACTCTTGATTTATTTCAGACTCAAAAGGTCAATATAAGTAAACATATGAATACATGACACAAATGTTTCTGTCTTAACAGGATAACAGGTTCAAATATTTACATTATTAATAAAAAACAAAGGTATATACGAATGTTTGGAAAAAAAGGGGATCAATTTTTATTTAATTCAAATTTTTAACTGCCATTTTTCTCTATTTTCTATGGACCCTTAGTATAATAAACTGATTTATTTTCTAAGATCAATTGTTTTAATAGTAAATAAACTTTCTTGTCGCTAATTTTTCTTCTTGTCGCTAATTTTTCTTCTTGTCGCTAATAGTTTTCTTCTTGTCGCTAATATTTTTCTTCTTGTCGCTTCTTGTCGCTAAAATTCTTCTGGCTAATTAGTGGGACCTCCATAATGATACCGGCGCACACAAACTTTTGCCACTTCATCGATTTATTCCTTCAACTAGTGTACATTTAATAGCAAAACTTAATAGAAAGTTTCCAGAAAAAGTACTATAAATACTTTTACTTGATAATATAAATGCAGCTTTCAACATCTTCAATACCCTTAAATGATGCAGAATCTTTCCACAGGTCAATGGTTCTGTGAATGGCAAGGCTTAAAGGTTTGGCTTGTGTTCCACCCCTAGTTTTGGCATGGTAATTTGTGGTGACTGCAAACACCTTCTGTGCCTTTTTCTTGGTGTTGCCTCTCTTGTTTCTACACTCTTTTGCTGATCTACAAAAAAAATGTATTGGCAACATCAAAATCAAGATATTCCATCTAAATCAACCTCCTCTAAATTTAAGAGACCAATTAGAGTGTTAAACATTAACTTTCAATCTTTTTGTAACAAAAAACCAGAACATAAAGAAATTATAAACTCTGCAAAACCTGATATAATCACAGGTACTGAAACTTGGCTAAATCCAAATATACCATCTCATGAACTATTTCCACCAAACTTTTACAATGTATACCGAAAAGAAAGAACACAAAACGACAATGAAAAAAAAATCATGGCGGAGTACTAACTGCTATTATTAAAGAGTTCATAAGCTCCAAAATAGATGAATTCCAATCAAATTGCGACGATTGAACACCTCTTAAAAATTTAAAAATTTCTTTAACAAAAATTAAAAACATCTCTTATTCCAACATATGGCTCGGAGGAGACTTTTACCTAGGCCATATTGATTGGCCAATTCCATCGATTGTTGCTGGAAAACCAGAACAAAAATTACACCAACAACTCCTATACAAGCTTTTGATCATAATTTACAACAAATGGTAGACAAAGAAACACTCAACGACAGAATCTTAGATCTGTTCTTCACTAATAATCCATCTAGTGTAAATAAAATGACAACTTTACCACCAATTGATAAGGCAGACAATGATATAGTATACCTTGATATTGACACATGGCTGAAAAGGGTACGGAAACTACCTCAGTAGTGTAGATATATTGTGGGAGAATTTTCAGATAGACCTAATAAAATCTATAGAAAAAAAATGTACCACACAAAATGATCACATACAAACATAGATTACCTTGGGTAACAGACAAACTGCGTTATCTCATAAACAAGAAAAACAAAGCTGATCGAAAAAGGAAAAAAGATCCAGAAAAATATAAAAAGTTGAAACAAATGTACAAAAAGAAATCCGTACAGAATTTGGAATTATATTAAAAAAATGACCTGTGATATACCAATTAACGAACCTGGTCAATATGATAAATAAAAAATAAAACAAAAAAATCTCTGTTACATCAAAAGCACACGTTCTGATAAAACTGGTGTTGCACCTTTGAAAAAAGATGACAAACTTATCACAGACACGGAGGAAAAAGCAAATATTTTAAATCAACAGTTCCAATCTGTATTCACAAATGAAACAGATGATAACATCCTAGACAAAGTTAGAATCCCCCACCTGCAAATGGTGAATATAACAATCAATGAAGCAGGTATTACCAAATTATTGTCAAACCTTAATACCAACAAAGTTTGTGGCCCTGACTACAACAATGGCCGAGTCCTTAAAGAACTAAAGGAAAAAATTTCACCAATCCTTACATTATTTCCGGGATTTGCTCGCTGTGTTGAAGACCATTTGGCTGGACTTCGACTGTTTCTGCTCTTTGGTCGGATTGTTGTCTCTTTGACACATTCCCCATTTCTATTCTCTATTTTATTAATATTCAAAAAGTCTCTTAAATCTGGAGAAACACATAAGGACTGGAAACGTAGCCCAGCCTTCAATAAAGGGAAAAAATACAAACCCGTATATGTTGTAAGCTCATGGAGCACATCATTACAAGAAGTATTATGTCTCACCTAGAAAAACATCATATATTATACGATCTTCAGCATGGTTTCAGAAAATTGAGGTCTTGTGAAACACAACTAATAGATTTTATTCAAGAACTGGCACAAACTAATTATAGCAACACAGAAACTGACTTAATCATAATGGACTTTGCTAAAGCGTTCGACAAAGTTTCACATCGTCGACTCCTTTATAAGCTTAACTTCTATGGTATTCAAAATAACACACTAAATTGGGTCTAGGCATTTCTACATGACAGAACACAAACAGTCGTCATCAATGACATTTTGTCAACCTCAGTACCCGTTACATCGTGTGTACCCCAAGGAACAGAATTAGGCCCAATACTGTTCCTCATCTATATAAACGACCTGCCTGAATATTTACAACATAGCAAACTTAGACTCTTTGCGGATGACAGCATAATTTACAGGGAAATACAAACAAAAAATGATTGCCATACACTACAACTCGATCTAGACTCAGCATCATGATGGGAGTCAGATTGGCTCATGGCATTTCACCCTGTTGTATGTACCAACCTTACTATCTCACAAAAGAAAAAAACTACAGGCACAATTTCAACCTTCACAACTACATTCTCGAATCAGTAACATCTTCAAAATATTTCGGCATTACCCTACAATATAATCTAAAGTAGAACAAGCATATAGACAATGAGATTCACGAGTATCGAGTTGCGAGTTACGAAAGTTGAGTTTCGAGTTACGATGGTCGAGATGCGAGTTACGAAGGTCGAGTTGTGAGATATAAAGGTCGAGTTGCGAGTTACGAAAGTCGAGTTGCGTGAAAATGGGGAAAACTATTTTAATTTTTTGGTGTACCTCTTTAACATTTTTGAATGATGATTGGTGATAGAATTGTGTACAGTATTGTTGACTTTTTTTGTTGTGTGGACTTCATCTGAGTCTCGTGTAAAAATATAAATAGATTGCTTACACTACGCAAAGTATTTTCTGAAGAAACAGATAGCCTTTTGAAATACAGCGGATTGCTTGTAGTTAAATTATTATTAAATTTCATAGCTAACACCGTCATATTAAACGTAAAAGGAGATAGCAACTTAACTATAGTACATATATGTTAAAGACCCCTTCTGCAGATTTCGTTAAGAGTGGGCTCTTTTGGGCAGCTGCAGAGGCAATATTTGTTAGGGACCCCAAAATTTATCCTTTGCCAGTGACACTCAAAATTGTGGACGTTTAAGTTATATGTGTTTATATTATCTAAAGGTGAAGGGGGAAAGTTGAGCGCTCATAAAACCTGTTTAACCCCGCCGCATTTTTGAGTCTGTCCTAAGTCGGGAAACTCTAGCCTTTGTTGGGCTTGTATATTTTTTAATTTTGGTTCATCTATATGTTTCGCAGCATATAATGGCGTCCATTTTCTTGATCTAGTGTACATTGTGTTTCGGAGCCTGCTCGGGGCTGCCTCTGGGTGTGGGATTTCTTGCTGTGTTGAAGATCCATTGGTGGCCTTCGGTTGACTGGTAAATTTTGGTTTGGTTGTTGTCTCTTTGAAACATTCCCCATACCATCATACACACTAATATAGGTTTCAGTTTGGTTAAATTAGCACATGATTTTTCAGGGTAAGTTATTTTATTTAATTATTTACCACAGAGAGCATTCATTATCGTACATGGTAATTCCAAATTTCCTGAGAGTGTTTTATGCCTGTCTGAAAGAGAATTAGCAACTTCCTCGTGAATAATAACATCACCAATTTCCATTGTTGGTACTACTTTCCTTGTACAATCATGTTTCAAATGAGAGTAAGCAGCTTGTAAGACCCTTGATACAGTGTTATTTCCATTTTGATCTTTATACCTTATGTAACAGTAGTGTTTTAGGATCAAGTCATTAGGTTCCACCTTGTGTTTGTTCTTAAAGTCCTTTCCGCAACCATTACATTTCCTAAGATTGAATATTGTTCCAAATAAACTAACATGAAA